AAAAAAGAGAGATCTACGTTTTGTAATTGTTTGATAGAAAAATTGTTTTCTCAAGTTCTTTTTGAAAGAAGTCAAGAATATAATTTTTGTAGCTATCAGTGATAACGGTTTTTATATGGCGTTCGATCTTCTGGTTATTTTTGATGGCGTTATATTTATCTAATTGGATTTGAGATATCTTCTTAATAGCTTCATAAATGTTTGGATGTTTTAACAAAGAAAATTCTGAATGCATACTCTCGAGGCAATCATTAGTGAATATTGCAGTTGCATTATTATATTGAGATATAAATTGTAGTGCGGCAACCAAACTTTGTTGAAATAATCAATATAATCTTTGATCGAATCAACTTTATTTTGATTAATTATATGCATTGTAAGTACAAATTCTTCATGAGAACATGAATGGAGTAATAGAATATAGCTTAAATAAAGAATTTTAAAGTATTGAATTTTTTTGTATAAAGTGCTACAAGTTTCCTGTGTAAAGCTTGTTTGAAATGAAATAGGCATCCAATTATACGGACTTTAGGGAAAATTTGTTGAAGTGCCTCTATCATTCCCTTTTCAAAATCACAATGAATTTGAATTAGCTTTGAAAATTGAATACCCTTGACAGTAAAAATATATTCAAATGCCTTCTTATAAGATTCAAATGTGCGGTTTTTCATGAATATAAATAAGTGGTAGATATTGATTTGTTGAAGGTTCACAAATCATAATTGTTAGCATCTGTCCTTTTTGAAAATGTTTTGGTGTAATTTTAAAAAGTTCCATCGCAAAATAATTCTGTGGCTTCTTTTGCAAATTGAATTGCCTTCTCAAAACCAAAAAAACATCGTCTCACAATTTGCTTGAAAATCATGGCCAATGAAAAACTGCTCGCCATTTATTAAACAAAAATTAGCAATTTCATCGTCTGTAATTTTTTCTCCAACAGAAAATTTTCTGGACTTAATATAAACTTCCCTGACCAATGAATCTTTAATTAATGGATTTTCATCAGTACCAACAGCAAGTTCTGTCATAAATTTTTGAATCTGCTGAAAAGTGCCGTTGTCTTCAGAAAATTTTGCCATTGCCTTATTGTATATTTCTCTCAGAGTCATTGATTTATGAAGATCATTTTTTTCATTTTGTAACTTTTTAAATTGTCTGCATTCGGGTATATGTTCCTTTTGTAAATCTTCGGAAACTGAACTGTTCTCAATTTTAACTAAATAACGTGCTTGACAAGAATGATCGATGCAACGGTAGTAACGTTCAATATTATTTGAATTAATAATATTTGTATGATCATGCGAATAAAGCATATCTTTGCGAACAATTGTATCAGGAATTTTCCAGTAACTGTGGGAAATTTTTAACTGCAATATAACTAAAATATCTTCTGACAGCTTTAGATTCATTTTCGGCGTATTTTAATATTAAAATATTGAAGAACTTGTTTGATTATATTCGTTTTTTCATCTCTCGATGTTGATTTTTGGTATTATCAGATTGTTCCCTGATAAATATTTTATTTTCGTCTGTAAAGTTTGCTCTTTTTTGATTAAATAATAGATGATTTTCCCATTAAAAAATGAAATGATGCAAAATTTACGAAAACGTTCGAAAATTGAATCAAAAATGAAAAGTAATACTTAAATGAGTAATTCTTTGAGATATTGGTCTTAGATTGAATGTAGCGTCATTCTTATATAGAATATATATTCATATCATCGGAAATATGATAAAAAGCATATAATAAATGTCAAAAAAGTGAACAAATAAGCAAAGATATTTTTTAAAAAAACAATGAAAAGTAATACTTAAATGAGTAATTCTTTGAGATATTGGTCTTAGATTGAATGTAGCGTCATTCTTATATAGAATATATATTCATATCATCGGAAATATGATAAAAGCATATAATAAATGTCAAAAAAGTGAACAAATAAGCAAAGATATTTTTTAAAAAAACAATGAAAAGTAATACTTAAATGAGGAATTCTTTGAGATATTGGTCTAAGATTGAATGTAGCGTCACAAATTTCACAAATATAATTTACTATACAATTTATTCATTTTTTTAAAAATGGCTGACGAAAGTCTGTATCAACTAACTCAACTAGTCAAGCATAATGATTATTCTTCGGATTCATTAAATCAACTTTATCAATGCATAAGTACAATGACAGAAAGATCAATTGGATGCTTAAATTGGGATAAATTTTTCAAAAAAATCACAGTGACTGATGAAGTTCTTTTACATTTTTTAGCATCCGTTTTAAAACATTGAAAAGATATCAGAATGTTTCAAGGATTCTATTTTTTTATCACAATATATTCTTGCAAAATTCAGTAATTTAACTGAAACAGAACAACAAACAATTTTAAATTCCTACAAAGCGGATAAATTTACATATTACATAATGTGCTCACAAATTGTAAAATCAAACTGGAACAATTTATCCCAAACTTTAGTTAATATTGAAAATCAATATTTGCCATTTTTAGATGAAGAAAAGCAAATATATATATTTACTGAAATAACTGGCAATTATCAAATTTTGAAATTTCAGTTGCAAACTTGTTACTTTTTTATGAAAACAATGAAGAAAAATTAAGCAACTGTTTTAATTTAACATTGTTCCAGCAAATTTATTCCAAAAATGGAATCGAGCATTGATATTTTTTGCTGCAAATACAATTTGTTGCAATAACACTTCTATCAATTTTTACAATCTCCTTGAAATTGAAGAAATGAATCCATTTGATTTTTTATTTCTCAATTCAATATAAAGAGATATTAAATTGCGATGATTTTCAAAAGTTACAGAAGTAATCACAGGTTTAATCTCAGCTTCAAATATTAATGCTATTATGCGAATTTGCCAAAAAATTTTGGATAAAATTACATTTTATAAATGTAATTATTGCCATATTACCTCAATATGGAATTTTATCAAAATGCAGCAATAATTCTTCCTGATGAAGATTTATTAATCAAATTATTAAAATTCATAGAAAAAACAGAAAAAGCAACAGATGAATTATTCGAACCGGAGAATGATTTGGGTTTCTATGAATATTTAAATTCGATTTTCTCAGATATTACATCTGCGAAGAAATAAGCAATTTCTCTTGGAGTTTCTAAATACCCATGAAGATGACTTCACTTATGATCAAACATTGTGAGGTCATTTTTGATCAACAAATTAATTGAAATTCCGATCAAAAAAAATTCACAAATGGATCAAAAAAATCGAATCTCAAGTTAAAAATAAAAAATTTCTACATTTTATCAAATTTATATTTTTTTTTCAAATCATGCGAATTGATTGGATAATTGCATATTTTATCCCATGCATCTAGAAGTATGTGTAATATTTTTGCTTTCATCAAGAAATTGTCGAATTTGATCTTAATTTTTTTTGAAAAATATACTTTTAGAAAAAAGAAATAGTGATGAATAGCTGCCCATGCTGTAAAAGGGTTATTTTTACAAGTAAAAAAATTGTTATTTTTCGAGCAAGTCGAGGCTTTTTACCATCTTATTTTTGAAAAATTTACGAAAAAATTATATCTGAAAAAACGCTCATTTTGATATCTTACAATGATAAAATACCAATGTTGCTGGATATAATAGCTACACCTGGACATCTACTACATTAATGCGTATGACAGGTAAAGTTGATTTCAAAAGTATAGCCTGGAAAGATTACAATAAATCAACGATAATTCAAAAAAATTTCTTATAAGTTAACATAATAAAAATTTAATTTTTATATTGCTTGTATTATACTTAAGTATATAATATATTTAAATCTTAGAATGAAAATTCGGGACGCCCTAGCTATTCAATTTTCCCTTAGGACGCCCATAAACCTCTCAAAAATGTGATGTAAATATCACAATTTTGAGAAATTTACACTAGGACGCCTTAGGACGCCACCCCCTTTTTTACCAGTCATATTATTTTGACAGGTTTTTGGGTTTCGACGGAATTCTTAATCAGCAAATAAAGATCAAGTTAGACATTACCAGAAATAAATTTTGACAAAAAGCGTAATTAACTTTCAGTTTAAAATAACAACTTTCTACGT